GCGCCATGAAGAGAGAGGGGCCCTTCTGGAGTCACAGACAGGAACTCTCCCAGGAGCCCAGAACCAAGTCTGATGGTGAAAGGGTATGGAACTCTTCTGCCTATGGGGTGCCTGAAGAGATCTGAAGTCCTCCATTTCCAGATCCAAGAGCTCTGCCATCACCACCCAAAAACTTTCTGCTGCAATGGGAAGGGCAGGGACTTGAACCCTGGGTTACTGGCTAGGTTGCACTCAGGAATCACATACCTGGCCTGTCTGAAAGTAAATTCACTCGGTGAAGCAGTTTCTCACTCCTCTACCTGCTGTGTAAGGGAGGGGGGGCTTCAATACAGCGATGAATAAAATGGGTCCCCTTCTCTGTATAAATTCCTTTCAAGATCCTTTTGGATAAAAAGCTCTATACAAATGCAATTACAATGACTGATATTATTTAAGTGGAACACAGTAGTGCAATGTGGTTTGCACTGCTGCCTCAGAGATCCGAGACCCCAGGTTTTATTCTGGAAATGGGGTGCTGCCTGTGTGGAGTTTGTATGTTCTCCCCACGTTAACATGGGTTTCCTCCCACAGCACACACGCATACTGGTGGGTTCAATGACGTCAGGGAAAAGTGGTCCGGTTGCAAGTGTGGGCATGTCTGTGTCTGTATGTGCCCTGCAAAGGGCTGGCTTCCTGTCCAGCATGCACCCTGCCTTGTGCCCACTGCTTGCCCAGATAGGCTCCAGCTCCTCCAGGACCACAATGGGTGGGTTACGTCATGGTGATCTCACATCCCTTTTACAATTGACCGATGTTGAAAGACTACAGGAAAACGTAAGTTTAATATTCAAATATCTAAAAACTATAAAATATTCCAAATAAAGTCTACATATTATGAGTCACTACACTTTATGAGCAATGTACAAAGCAGTGTCCAGTTTCCATTAAGATTTTGGAATGGGCCTATCTGTATAAATGACTTTCACGAGCACACAACAGCTGAGACAAGATGGCGGCCCTGGTCTGGACCACATTCCCCAGCATGCTGCAGCAAATGAGCTGCTGCCCTCAGGCACCAGAACAGCTGCAGGAAAACAACTGGTCAGCAACAGCTTAAAAACCAGGAAGCAGAGGTTTTCCGGGTTGATTAGATCCGCTCTCTAGAGGGCAGAAGGCAGCTCCTCTGTAATGCTAAACCCACCAGCAGAAAGAGAAAGCAGCAGCCGAAACTGAGGGAAAAGAAACTTGTGCGACTGTAAAACTGTGAGTTTGTTGCATTGTGGGAGATTCCGAGTTTGAGAGAGAAGGTTTTTGAACGCGTTTGTACTATGAAGACGATAAGCTGCTTAGGTGCCTGTTGTGCTAGATCTTCAATTAAGAGTTATGCTTTTGTTCTAGTTTTTCTTTTGGTCCCTTGCTCTGTAAATAAAAGAGCAACTGGTTCGTACTTTGCAGCCGCATTACAGTGGATATAAAAAGTCTACACACCCTTAATTAAATTGCAGGGTTTTGTGATGTAAATATGGTGCCACATTTTCTCCACTTATTGAGGATAGTCTTCACAGTGCTCCAGGGTTCATTCCATGCCTTTGATATTCTTTTATACCCCTCTCTTTGATCGGTACCTTTCAACAATAAGATCCCGTAGATGTTTTCTCAGCTCCTTGCAGACCATGGCTATCCCAGTAGGATACAACCATGAAGGTTTCAAGGCAATGCAACAGGAACAGCTGATTTTTATTTGGGGTTAATCAGAATCACTTTCATTGATGGCAGGTGTATGCTACTTACCTTTGGACATGATTTTGAATGTGATTGGTTAACTCTGAACACAGCTACAGCCCCCATTATAAAAGGGTGTGCACACTTATGCCACCAAGCTGTTGTAGATTTTTTCATTTCAATTATTTTTCATATTGATCTATTTGGTTTTCTCTTGAATGTTGCTGGTTGCAAGGTCACATTAAAGATGGAAAAATGGCTGACATGATTTGTCTTGATTTCTGGCTTTACATCACAAAAACCTGCAATTTCAATAAGGGTGTATAGACTTTTTATATCCCCTTTCTGTTTTACAGGGCAGGCCTATTGTAAAAGATTCCATTACAACATGCACAATCGGGCAGTCACAAAATGTAAACATGACTTATCTCTTCTCGTTTTGAACATTGTGAAAGATCATATCACTCAGGGCAGAATCTGTTCTAGCAAGAACTCACCCAGGCAGGAAATGTACCAACCAACCTTCAGTCCACATCGGGGGTAGAAAGATTGGGTCTGCAGATTTGAACTGAACATTTACAAGGCGTTGCACTACTCCTCTATTTGTTTTTAAAAATCTCATCCCACCACTGCGAGTATGACGTAGTGTAACAGAGCTGCAAAAAACAAACTCCTAAAATACTGAGTCCAACCGCAAATGACAATTTAATGAAAAGCTTAGATTGTTTCTTTTAAACTATCATGAACCAAACATGACCCCCTCCAAAGAAAATACAGAGATACTGAGGAATAAGGATGCAGAGCAACAACAGAAAGTGACATCAATGCATGTTTTTAGAAACACTCATGTATGTGAATATAGATACATTTGATGACTTTAATTCAGCAGTCGTGATTAACAAATGACACGCTGTGCTCAAATGACCTTGTTGCAGAAGCACAATATTACTTTTCTAGACTATAAACTAGGGAACATGCAATGGTGTAACCCGAAGTAAAACAAACCAGTATGCCCGTCTTGGAACAATACCCTTGTCATTGGTAAGTTTGCAGCAACACCTCAGCTGGAGCCACCTACTTGAGCGAAGTCCTCCTTAGCAATCCAAGTTTCGTGTAGAGCAGCCTGATGGAGGACAGCAAGTGTGGTGCTGATCTGCAGTACGATGCTTGCGGTGTACAGCAGACCAATCCATGGGAGGGTCAAGAGTGATGGTCTGGGAAGGAGGGTCTCGTCTTGACAGAACTCCACTCCTCAGCAGTTGATGGAAACCTGACTGCCTGGTGTTCCAATGAGAGAGTCCCTCGGCCGCCCCTCCTTGTGGGCTCAACCTGATGGGATAACAGTCCAGAGGGACGATCTTTGTGCAACAGGGGCTCTCAAGAGAAATGGGAATGAAAGTTATTATGGTGTGTGTGCCCTCTGAGCTCTAACTCTCATGAGATGCATTGGGATAGGCGTCATCCTAGGCTCCGAAACCAGAGAACAGACACATGCTTGAGCACACTCTGTAACAGGAACAGACAGATCCCACACAACAGCATGTGCAACTTAATTCACAGCACGCATCACATTTGTTTAACTTGTATCGTGTCCAGCAGTGGCCACACCAACCACTAGCCTGAGACTCATAGTAGACTTACTGCTGATTAACCCAGCTGATAAGAAATGGCAAATCTGTATAATATGTTTGTGTACCTGATACAAAAAAAGGAAGTCAACATTTGTTGCAGCGATAAGTGGTTTCTTCCTTTGCAGAGTATGTTAAGGAATGCATCTGGAAGTATTTTGATGAATGCAAACATGGTCTTCACAACATATTAAAATAATATCAAAACGTATATACTTTTCACTCTCATTCCCATAAAAAACATATGTTTGTCACCTTCTTATTGGGTTATCATCTCCTCGCACAACTTCATCTCTTAATAGTATGTTAGATTTAGGTTAAATGGTGTGATGGCCCCTAACTGTGGCCCTAGGTATACACAGGGTCTATTGGTTTTTATTCCAGTTGAGCTATGCATCACCAGAGGTAACCAATGTGCTTGCTTGTGTAGACGTCTGGTTTATACTTGTTTATGCACTCCATCCTGTGTTTCAGATGAACCCACTTCAAGCATATTGTTTCCAACACATTCAGCATACAGAACCTACTGATCTTATTTCTGACATCACAGCTCATGAACGACGATCAGTTTAACAGACAGGTGAGAAAGATAGTGTATCAGACAACCCCAGAGAAAGCATTTGTAGATTCTGCTGCAGAGGTTCAGCTGGTTACACGTCAGGCTACACTACTGAAGGAGGGGAGTTCTGAAAAGTGGATTGGTGCAGAAATGCAAACTGCATCCAGAGCTGTCAGAGATGAACACACAAAATATGGCTTAACACAGAATTCAGAATTCAGCCTGTGGTGAAAAATCCAGCTAGAGGAAAAAGAAAGAACAGCACTGCTTCAGGACCAGAACGGGTAATATGAGAAATTCTCTTGAGCTGGCATTCTGATTTGCCTCTGGCAGCAGCAACAAATGAGACTAAAAATGGACTACTCCTCCCAAAAATAAAGGGGAAAATGAATAACAGAACAAAGGGTTTTATTCCACAATATAAACTGCAACATTTGAAACAAGCTACCCCCAAAAAAGAGCCAAAGTACAGCTGTGGCAGTTTTACTTTACAAAGTTCTTCCTGTCTGCTACATCACTAGTCCATCTGTGCGTCCCTACAGTCTAACGGTGAGCGTTCTGTACATCAACCAATGCTAAAGCACCAACACACTGTTCAGAAGAGATTTCAAGCCACTGAACTCAGACATAGACCAGTTATTGCTCAGATAAATAAACCTAAACTACAAAAAAGAAAACTATTTCATATTATCCAGATGCTAGTACTAAGCAGTGGGTTTCCAAAAAAAATAAGTTTCTCTTGTACTTTTTTTTTTTAATATTTGGTGAAAGATTCCCTGCACCCAGTATTCTCTGGTTCAGCATGCAGGACAATCCCAGAGGTATGAGAAAGAACGCTGCTCTTCACAAGGTGCTTCACTGATCTCTCTCTCTCTCTCGAGCCAATGGGATGGAAACCCCTGCAGCACACTTCGGCATCCTGCGACTTTAGACAACCACAAAGAGTTCATAGGAGGAAGAAATCAAAAAATACAAAAGTGACCAAAGAGTCTGAAAGTCCTGGAAAACAGTCCCATGAGGAGGGAAGTAGCACCGTGGTTTTCTTGTTGATTTTTTTTAACAAAGGGGAAGGAGAGAAAAGGGGGAAGGATGGGGGGGGGTCAGTTACACACCCAGCCCTGTGGCTTACAAAACAAACTGGTAGGTCTTCTAGTCCCCCACCAGACCTCTGTGCTCCTTATTTCCTTATCTGGCCATCTTTTACAGTACAGCGGACACAAATATAGTCCTCCTTCTCGGCCAGCTCCGAGGAGACGCCCACGCAGATCTGGTGGAACCACTGGTTACAGCTGCCGTCACACTGGACCCAGTCCACCTGCAGGGAGATGAGACAGCCTTGCTCAGAGCAGTGCTCATTGCATACAATCCAGAAGACCACAGTTGATGCGCACTTCCCAGTTTAAACCTGCTGAGCATGTTATACCAAGTCATTAAAATCCTGGTATTCTTATAGTTTTGGATGTGAACCTTGTGGACAGTCCAGTTGGAATACAGGCAAATTTGTAAAGTTGTGACATAGCTAACATCCAGATCCAGTACACAGATTGATCAAGTTGGGTCACAGCATCGTCTCCACTGCCTGGAAAGTCACACTCCAAGCCACAAACACACTATGTAACTCCCTTAAACTGATCTTTGTGCCATGAGTGGGCTGTATAATGCACCTGCTTATTCCATCAACACAACATGCACGTGTATCATCTTACAAGTATAACTTGGCCATCTATTTTCTTTGGCCAAATCTCCATGGTGTCAAAAGGATCACATGAAGGAACCACATTTCGTTGCATTTGAGAAAATGTGATGAGAGCAATTTTAAACCTGTCCAATTCTGGATGTACATTGCATAGGGCATTACGAAAGGATATGCTTCCCTAAAAACAAAGGCCACTGAACACGAATACCAAGAAATAGCAGAACTGTTGCTTTGTAATACATGATGTAGCATTAGCTGCAGAACCACCAGCTGTGGCATGGTTAGCCATCAAGCTGGAGAGACTACAGCATCACCTGCCCCCGTAGCAAGACTGACCTCCTCTCCCTCGGGCTGCTGGCACTTCTCTGCCGGACACAAGGCCATATCCTCCTCCGAGTCATCCGAGTGGGAGAGGTCCGAGTGTGTGGAGGGAGAGGCGGAGGCTGCTTTGCCGTCCCGGGGTTTCTCCTTGTTCAGTTTGGGCTTCTTCTTCTGGGGCTTCTTCACTCTGTCCCTCCTCTCGCCACTCAACCCATCCTTCTCCAGACGCCGCTTCTGCTTCTTCTCCGCCCCATTCACAGCTTCCTTCTTAAGACTGCAGCTTCCGTCCTGTGAAAACACGGCAGCACTCAGCCACATAGCGAATGCCAGAGTCCTGTGTGCTTCATAGGTTCTCTCATTCAATTAATTAGCCCCAGCATTTAATTACAATCAGGGATGGAATGGAAACCAGAGGGCCCTGCAGGATGTAGAAGCACAATGAAGTCTTTTCCCCAATCAATTCAGTTCTGAAACAGTATCCAGAAACATCTCACATCATCACATCTCCCCCACACTGTTCCCTTCAGGGAAAGTCTGTTGTGCTTTCATTAAATCCATATTAACATTTGCCGTATGATTTACGAATGTTTAGCTCTTAGAATCATGAAACAAGTCACGTTGAGAAGGCTTGCAACCAAAAACCAGAAAATAAATCCCCAATCAGTGGGATTCAGACACACTTGTAACTCTGGAGTATGAGGCCTGTGCCATTCAGCTCTGGATCCTGGCACACCTGTGGCTGCCGATTAGGAAGCAAATGGATGGCACGGTATGATTATACCGAGAAGTGCCTAATTGAAAGTAACACTACAAATGGATAATTGTAGCCAAGGTTTGTTTTAAGATCTACAGACTTCCAGCAGTTGCATCCTAACCAAACACCTGCAAGAATTTTACTGCCTTGATGCTCAGCACCTCATTTTGTGGTGGGCTTCGTCCCTGAGAGTTGTGCTGCTTGGCTCCAGTTCTTTCACAGTTGGGCCCTGCTGGTGAGGTCTGCTGCCTGGTCAGTCCATTCAGCAAGATCTGATAGAGCTGCTGGATTTCTGGCAAAGACACCTGCAGCAGGAGGCCTTCTACCATCAACTCCTCCAGCTCAGGACTCAGATCTGAGGAGAAAAAAAGCCACAGTTAGTTAACAGGCCCTATTGAACCTATTTTATGGAGATACTGGCAAGTGCATTTAGCACTTACAAAACAGAGGAGACAGTCTAAAATAGTCTTGTAAGAGAAACTACAACACTCAGGAAACAGGCCTGGAAAAAAAAAAAACTCCAAACAAGTTTAAATCATGGTTTGGAAACCAGGTCCACAGCGTTTTGTGTCTTTGTCAGAATTTCTTTCAAAAAGCCCTTAAATGCACCTTTTTGTGATTTATTCATCACTTGGTTATCAAGTCTAACCAATATTCACAATATCAAACTGCAGCAGAGTCTGACAGGGAACATCACTACTGTTTTGAGTCAGAAAAATGAGAGCAAAGCCTTCAGGATACTGCTGCTGTTCTTGCCAAAACCTGCTGCTAAATTACATTTAAGAAACCACGAAGAATAATATTTCTTGATTTTAATACAACAAGAGGTTAACAAAATAAAACTTTGATTCTGAGTAAACTGAAGTGTGGCTCTTCAGCAAAGCAGTGTTAATTCATGACACCGGTGTACTTGGAGGCAGTAAACAATCAAATGCACCTGATCAGCCTTAAAAGCACAGTTAGAACACAGAACAGAACAAAATAAAATACCTAAACCCTGCTAGACAGAACTAGACAGAAACTACCATCTCTGAGCTCCAGATCTCACCCCATCGATTTTCTCTTAATTTCTACTGGCATTGAATGCATGCTCCATGCAGTTTACAGGTACTGGTTTTTACACCCTCTGTGGTGCAGACCTGCTCTCACCGCAAGAAGCTTTATATTACAAACCAGGCGTGACTGCTCAGGGTGAAAATGTTCCACGTCTCTACTCGTCTCCGAAAGCACTTATTTAAAAATGCGCATACAGTGCAAGCTGAAAGACAAAGATCAAAATCCAGGAAAATCCCATGGGGCAGCAGCACTGACCCTGAATAGGAATGCATCGCTGTTCCGTATAAAAGGCCGTCTGAGGCTGGCCTGCCCTGTTCCACTCCTGAGTCGATGCAAATGTGGCTGGGCCAGGGCAATGTGCCGGCTGCAATAAGCAAACACAAGAAATGAATGGGGGGAGGGGGGGTGGGGAAGCATGGCAAGTGCAGCCTTCAGAGCACAGATTTGAAACACTGCAGAAAAAAGGAAGTGTGAGGAGGAACTGTAAATTACATCAGGTCCCAAGGCATCATTACCCATCGCTGAGGGTACCTGACTGGCACTATATTTAACAGTAATCAGTGTCATTAGTTCTGCATCTCCAGTGTCTTGAGAGTGATGGTATGAATAATTTTCCTTCCAGCAGTACCGCCTGTATCAGCCAGAAACACCAACAATCTCTCCATGTATCATCAGGATTTGCACAGATAAAACAATGTCAAAAACAAAAACATGTAGAGAATTAAAATGTTTTCATAGGCTACAAAAAAGTGTAAAAAAATAGTGTAAACACAAATAGACCAACTTAAACCTCCAAGTCCAGCTCAGGGCAGTAATCCAGGCTGTACAATTTCAGGGTCAGCAGTAAACCGACGTTTTTAAGACATGTCAGATCGCAGTATAACAGGCAAACAGAGTTAACAGGATTGTACCACCGGGGAACAGCAGCGGTTACAGCAAACCACAGTGGAGGTTAAATAACATTTAAAATCCCTCCGTGTTTCCCTTAAGGAGATTTAGGGTTTGACTTCAGTATATGAGCATCTGTCTGAGGTGCGTTCACGTTCATTCTGTGTGACAGGGAGAACGGTAGACTGAAGCTCGGCCTCTTGCACTTGTCCAATAACTGTACAGTGTGTACGTAACAGGAAGATGGGCATGCACCTCGTCTGTGGATTCAAAATCAGCCTTCTCAAACCAGCAGGGAGAAAATTAGAAAACAAAACCGGTTTTATCTTATATGCAGATCCACCGTTAACAGTTTGCATCAACACCTTTCAGCTATCTGGTCTTTACAAATTTACTCATGACTGACCCTTTTAAACAAACTGTTCTTTTATACTTATTACTTAATTTAGGATTCTCCCTCAACCCATCATAGCAGTCAGTATGGAAGGCACATACTGTAGCATGTCCTCCAGCACCCAGTGGTCATTGTTTTTCAGTAGGTGCTAATGGGACACAAGCCCCAGTGCTGCCACTGACTGCTCAGGCTCTCTGTCCCATTGAGCTATGGGGCCCGGTGTTGTTGTGCCAGGAGAAGGCAGCTCCGTGCCTACTTTGTAAATTCTCTGTTGTTCAGCCTAGACCAGACATGGTTTCTCTAGTATTTAGAACTTGCTCCACATCTTTGAGGAGTTCCGTTACTAGATGAACCAAATGGGAATTTATCTTTTAAAGCAAATCCAGGAAGAAACAATTATTAATTTTACAATACAGAATAGTAAACTCTGAGGTCTTTTGGTCTGTCGCTTAAAACGCACTGCTTTCATTTTCCCCTTACAAGATGCTTTACTTGAAAGGGGAACTTCAACACTATTGTCATATTTCAGGGTTAGATGGAATCAGCATTGATGAGTTCATTTCAAACTAATAAAACATTACTTTTGATTTTGAGACAGTTTTGCAGACAAATAATACTTGTTAACTGTATGCAGATCAAGTTGCAATGTCTGCGGTCTCTATTCGCTCCTACATCACATTAGTCATTACAGAGACTAGCGAGTCGGAACGGGGCTTCACGTCGCAGGTCGTGGAAACCCGAATGCAAGTTTGCAACATGGCGACTTGCAGTACTTTCACAAAGTTAATGATTTTGGGCTTAATTTAAAATTTGTCATTTTTTTCCCCAAGACGTCAATGAGTTTACTTCGTGACTGAGATTTAATAAGTGGTCTGAGAAATTGGGACTGCAGTTCCCCTTTCATGGCTACAGCACAGAACACAACGTGCTGACTTGCCAAACTACGGCTGCAACAGTATGCATTTCAAACGTGAGCATTTAACAGTCATATTTTCAGGTTGTGACTTGGACTGAACAGAAAGGAGGGACCCAACACGTGACAATGACCATCACCACACCAGCCTCGCTGGCGCCGAGGAGGACGGAAGGGCCTACCTTTCCACTGGCCTCGGCGGTGTGGAGTGCTGTCCCTGGCCAGTGGTGCTGTGTGGGCGAGGCCCCCCCTCCCCGCAGAGGGGGGAGGCTGTGTGAGGAGAAGACCTGCTGGGCCCTGTGCTGCCAGTTCACAGTCCGTTCGATCATGTAACGTAGGGCGTCCCCCTCGGGCAGCCGTACTCGGATGCGCTGCAGGGAGGCCAGCAGGGGCAGGATTTTCTCAAGCGGGGGCTTCTCCGAGCGCTGGCAAAGCGGACACAGCCAGGCCTGGGCGGCCTGTGGATGGACGGGCCCCGGCACGCAGATGCTGTGGAAGGCGTCCCTGCAGAGCTCGCACTGTAACATTGCGCCCGCGGGGGGCTTCAGACACACGCACACCTTGAGGTCAGCACAGTCTGCCGTGGGCAGCAGTTTGGACTCATTGGCAGCTCTGAGGGCACCGAGTGCTTCCATCTCCTTTAATCGAACCTCAGCCAGTGTTGCCATCTGTTAGAAGAATCAAAAGGACATGAATAGAAATAAGGACTTGAGTAAGGTGACTTACTCAGCTGGTATGTGAATTAATTGTGCTATAAAAACCACTAATTACATAGCAATAGTTCTCTCAGTCAGCATGCCCTGCTGCCAGGGGACAAGAACATCCAATAATACCAGACATCCCGATTCTTCCTTAGGGTAAGACATGACCCCTGCTCCCCCTGCAGATGCAGCATGCCCCGCCAACATGACAAATGTCCCATGTTTTAGGTTTTTGCTTGGACATGGGTAGGAGTTAAATGCAAGCATCTCAATCATGCATCAGAAATGCTAAAACCAGGGTTTGTGAAAGCTCCAGTTTTCTAGGTCAATTGCCGTTTTGAAAGTTATTGATTTTCAAGCAGATAACCTTGTCCCCAAGAGCTCAACATTACTCGGTTCATCAAATCACCTGCTTATGTAGATCACAAACGCCTGCTCATATATTCAAGGTTACTGGACGGGGGGGGGGTTGGAGGCTTAACCACCACATCAGTCAAAAATCTCACTGAATCCAAACACAGAAAAAGTAACTAAAACCTGAGGAGGCCTTGAAAAAACGTGAACCGCAGGAAGGATTGGGGTGATGAAGAGTGTCAGCCGAGCTTTGCCCAGTAAGAAGCGCTGCTGTACTCACAGCAGAGGCCGAGTCCTTGCTCTCCGACAGGGCTCTCTCCACATCACTCAGACAGTCCAACCTCACACACCGCTTCTTTCCACATTGAGCCGCCTCCTTTGCCTTCTTTGTCTTTCTCTTCTGAGCCCCAGTCCCGACCTCACACCTGGGGCACAGCACCTTCAGACACAAACAGGCCGATTAAGAAGCCAGAACTCCATATGAGGGCTTTTACCTGCCTATCACAGTAGCAGTATGCTATGATATAGGCATTACTACTAATAGGAAACTGTGCAAAAGTTAAGATTATTCCACTGAAAACCCCTTTTATTGTTCTTTGTAATTAAGTTAAATGAGAACTTGTATCAGTCATGAATAGGCAAGTGCATTAGATTGAAAGCCCTGTGTCCACCATTTACCTTTCTCTTCACACATTAGAATCACATTTACAGTCCAAGACCAGAAATAAAAGTAAACAAATAGTTAATTTCCAAATGTTTTGTAAAATACAACAAAGGTAATTTGGCGATTTCTTCCCCAAGTTACAGGTAGCTCCCTATGACTTCAATTCACTTGCTGGCAAGTCCTTTCAGAACAGCAGCTTCTCCTTTGCGGTCAAACTATGCTGGCAAATTAAACACTGTGAACTAAGTGCAAACTGGACTGCCGTCTTACATCACATGGAACGGGGTAATGCGGGAACCCAAGAATGCAGTCCCTTTTGCTCCCATGGCACCCTGCAGTCCATTACCTCCAAGAGAGAGTAGGGGGAATTCTTCATTAGGAAGGTTTTCGCTGCACACTCCTTCCAAGCCTGAACCTCGGAGACCAGAGACTCCAGGCGTACAAGGGAGTCCAGCTGGACTGGAATGGCTCGACCCCGCAACACCATTTCAGAAAGGGTGTCTAACACAGGAACACGGCCGCCAAGCTGAGAGAAACACAAGCAATCATGTTTTTTTTATAATTGCAAGACATAGTTGTTATAGCTGAAAACCGAATAAAACACAGAGGATGCCAAGTTTTGATGCACATCACAGAAATTATTAATGTAACGGGCATTCCTTCTTTTACACTAAAAATAATCTCGAATATCTTCTCTTTTAAGCAATACATATATATACTTGTACATTTTGCTTTAAATTGACAAAATCCCTATTACTCTTACATACTAATTTTCGACTTGGAAATCCTTCTTAGGTGCATGAAATTCATATCTTTGAAGAAAGAACACAGAAGTGCTTTATGCTCCCACTGACACTGTCCATTTACACAGGCAACCTGTGTAAGCTGCATTTGCACTGTCCTGCATAATCACGGCTGCTTGCGACCATATCAGCCCCATCTTTGGAACGACCCCACCAGGGTTCTCAACATGAGGAAACGATTGACAGCTCTGCTGCCAAGAACAGCACGCAAACTGATTGGTCTACTACAAGCCTGCAGGCAGTGGTAGCTCCCATGAACAATATATTGTCTGCTCCAAGTACTCTAGTTGAGGTGAAAGGAGCTCTTCGTCCCGAATTGAGAACTGCCACAGGTGCTTCAGCCAGACACAGAACGGAGCCAGCTTCAAGGCAAAGAAATGGATGCATGTGCAAACATTCAATAAACCACAGAATGAAAGGCCGTACCTGCAGTGCCTCCACCTCCTGAAGCCACTCTCTTGCCTTGTGCACGGAGTCTTTGAGCATCAGGCAGTTGGGCAGATAAGCAGGAATGCCTTCTGACTCCTGAACAGCTGCTGCCAGGGTCTCCAGGCTGTGATGGGGCCTTGTAAAAAGAATGGGGTCAACATGAGAAATGGCCATTACCCTGAAAGCTGTCTTTTGCGTTATCACACTCCACATCTTCTAAGAGCTGGGCAGTGCAACACTCTCTCACGCTTTTACGCTTAAGTTCCAAACGTGGACGTCAGAATTAAAACAGAACATTACCAAGATTATACAACCGTGGAAATATAAAAAAAATACTGTTATGCCATGTGCCCATAATCCACATTATTAAAAAAATGGATCTAAGATTTCCAAAGCTTACCCTTTAAAAACAAAATGTATGCTTGTTACAAGATCAGTTAGGTTTTTAACCATTGGATTTTTAACAACCATGAATACAGGATAAAACTGTTGAGATCACATATGTGAACAATCTTAGAGAATCATCCTGCTGATTTTTAAGAAAGCCTTCAGGGAAAATAAAACTGCATTTTACAGTAAACAACTTGTTCTGCTGCTCCTCTCACTCCCACCCAACGTACTGTTACTGGAAATTTCCAGTCGCCACTGATGATCAGTCGGTACTGGTGTATGGTATTGCATCTTACTTGAACCTGCAGTAGACTGGTGGTATACTTTATCTAACCGTTCTTGCTGATTTTATAACTTAAGCTAGCTCACAATGAATGTGTCCACCATGACTAAGCACTGGCTCTTAAAACCTTTCCCAATTAGGTTTTAAAACACAGAAGTGTCTCACACATCCTCTTACTGAATACTTCATACTAAATATTGTCACAATTAGGCTTTGAAACACACTAGCATGATTTCTGAAAGCAGCCCTATTTGATACAAGACAAGAGTATAAAAACCTAGGCTGTAATGAGGGCTTGGTATATGTGTAGGATACCCTGACATTTGGTTTAAAAAAAAAATACTTTCAAAACCTGGATGAATGCATCTAAAAATATTTTACTATAATCCAAATTAAGAATTAAATGACTTAATACTTAGTAGTTGGTGAAAACAGAATACAAAAATGAACACAAGCAGTTTACTTCCAGTGTCTTGGAGAAGTGGTGCCGATCAAGTTACTGAATTCAGAATGCTTTAAAACATCGCAGTCATAAAAGTCTTAAGAGTAGCATCTAGTAGATGCAACATGAGTTTCAAGCTTCAAGTTGAACCAACTTTAAAACAAGAGAAACACCAATCTATGCAGGTCTAGTCATGAAGTGCAGACCTACACACAGCAACAGTGAGCCAAATACTCTTACAATCATTTGATCCTGTTAATCTCTCAGGAAGTAGCCCTGAACTCTAAATGCAACCCTTGCACATTTTCTGCTGTGTATCAATGGCGGATTAACTTTTCAAGCAGCTTTTCATAAGATATGCGTCAGTCCTGAACCCCTCACAAATGTATCGCCAGGCTTCACATTATCACGGCTGTCTCAGCAACTGAGACAATTCACCTACATGGTGACTATCCTAAACTAATGGTTAAGGTCTCGTGCTCAAACAGCTGTGTCCCACAGAATTGCTGGCTATCACTTTTTTGGATATGATTTACACCAAGCAGTGCCGATCATTTTTTGTCACATAAAACCGCAGCAACAGCAGTCACAGAACAGAGGGGACAACGAGGGGACTCGACAAGTATTCAAAATCTCCAAAGGCTTTGTCAAAAACTTCCTGGCGGACCTTTTCAAAACCAACAGTGAAACACAAACAAGACGATGGAAAGGAAACAAGGACAAGAGGAACTTCTTTGCTCAGTAGGGTTATGGGAATCTAGGACAAGCCGTCCTCACTGTGGAAACGGACAGCCTGGATTCGTTTAAGAAATGGCTGAATGAGATCAATCTAGCTACTTAAATCCAAATGGGCTAGATGGGCTGAATGGCCTCTACTCATTTGCAACCTGTCTTATGTGTCAATAACGTTACAAATAGAGGTGATGAATCTGAACAGCTTATCCAACAAAATGCAATGAAAGCACTGAAATGACTAATTAATGCCAATCTGTTTTAAACCAAAGCATGAAACAAGCACATGCTTAACATTTAAGCAAGATCATAAGCCCGGTTTGTAGATTTCCAAACTGGTTGAAAGTTAAAAACCTCTCACCATGGGCTGCAGTGCCCAACATTAATAATGACGAAATGACATTCCTCACTGTCCATATTCTCGATCATGCCAAGCTGCAGCTTTGCAGGTGTAAAAGAGCAGGAGTGCACATTCCATCACACACAAGGGATTAGTTATTCAAGTATTCCACAGAAGTTCCAACAAAACTAGGCGGTTACGTAGGCAAAGTATGAATAATTTTTCCCCAACTCACTAAATAGCCAACTGAGGGACTAAGATAGACCTTAATTTAATCGGTTTAGACTGAGAATCTGTTGTACTTACAAAAGTGTAAGCGGCACTTTATTACCAAATAAAAAACTGTTACAAACCATACTGAACTGCATGCCTTCATGCCTTTCACCTTTGAAACATTAATATAAAGTCTGGTGTCAAACTGTAATGAAGTTAAAGTTTGCTCAAGTTTTTTTGAGGATACTGAGTTTATTACAGGTACCTTGAGCACCAGTAACACCCCTGGTAGCACATTACTGCAGTACAATATGCTCTGAACATGAAGCTTGAAAAAAAATGGTGTTTTATGAGGCATAAATAGCCAATCAGCTGTAGTAAAAGAAGCAGTAGGATTTTGGTTCATGTGATGCCAAAATAAACAAATCTGTATTCGCTGATCACACTGAAAGTGTTTCTTAATAAAGTTTCATTCCTGAGAGTAAGCCTATTTAATACTCCTATGAAAAAAAAAGAGGTTTTCTCGATGACAAAGTCTCTCTTAACCTCAACAGGACAGGCCTAGCATAACCACACACCTAAGAATTTAGACATACCTGTTTTGAGCTTTTCTAATATCAGTAAGCCATGAAAGAAAATTCCTCTCCGATTAATGTCTGCCTCTTTCAAAGTAGTCTGTCACCATGCTGTTTCCTTTAAAACATCTTTGTTTTACATTAAGTTTTGTAACTAAGCATTTCTAGCAGCCTTTTAAATAAATGCAATGGAAAATTAAACAGGTTCTATCCAGCCAGATACCACCATTGTAAGTTGAGACACTCTTCCACTTCCTACAATTCCCCATTAAAGTGACTTCAAATCAAAGTTAGTCTCTTATTACCCGATACAATGTATTGTTTGCAATACCCTGCACTGAGCTGAGACATGTCTAGAAGGCCTTCACATGTCAGCTCTGCCACGTGGCACGCTGGTTTCACACTGTAATCCCTGAAAGAAAATGGCAGGAGTTCTGTGCCTCCAGAGGACAACACCACTCGCACTGTTAGGCCCCACAGGACCCCCAGCTTAGGAAGGAAAGTGTGTACAGATGTGGGGTGGGGTCTGGTGCCAGCCAGCCCCAGGTTTCCTTAGACAGGTCTACATGGCTCTGGACAGCCTCTAGTCCATTAGGAGTACAACCTGAATGGACACCCTTCAGACGATGAGACATACTGGAGTCACAAAGGAGGAGACACTCCATATCCAGATGGCAATATCATGCACAATCCAGCTCTAGGAAGATGTGGTACCAATATATATATATAAAACCAAAAGACAAACAATAGCCTAGAAGTTATGAAGCCGATAAATGTGCAACAATAGTAGGAGCCATGCCATTAAAAGCTTTTTCGGCTGAAGGGTGACACCGATTATAAATGCACTGGGAGCTAATGGAATGATGTCAGAACTAGAGTGACATGCTCACTTTTTGTTGGTCTTGTTGAAAAGTCTAGCAGCAGCATTTTGCACTAGCTGTAATTGAAATGAAGCATCATCAGGAACACGGACAAAACACTGTTTTGCAAAAATTAATAACAGCACGCTGATACTTTGATCACGGTAAAAGCAAGTCAACAATCTTCGCCAATGCACAAACAACAATGGACACCAATGTATTTCTGAGAAAGGGCTGGACTCAGTCCAAGCAGCAACACACATCTTTCTATTTTAATGTCTGGTGTAAACAGGATTTTCTTTAGCAAGTTCCGATACTATAGCCGTGCTTTCTTCATGCACTATTACGAGTCTGCAAACATCTATTAATAAAAAAAACAATTACTCAAAACAAATATGACACTGGAAAGTGTTCTTTCTGAAGGCAAGGCAACACCCAGGTTACTCTGACTTCTTGGCAACAAATCAGACATCCCTGTTGCTGGACCCTCACCTGGCCTTGATCAGGCTGTGGGCCTTGTCCTCCCAGTGCTCGGAGACAGTGAGCAGCTCCTGCAGACGCGCCATGGCCTTCTCCACCGAGGGGTGGGGGCTCAGGCCCACACCCTGGTCGATGAGCCTCCGCATGGTGTCCAGAGTCAGGCTGGAGGGCTCGGCGGAGGCCTCCTGCACCCCCTCCAACCAGCGCGCCTGTTCCAGTCTCTCCCGCAGTAGCGGCAACTCGGGCAGCTCCACATCAAAATCAAAGCTGACGTCCAGGAGGCGCTGGATCTCCGAGGCTTTGGGTGTATCCTCGTTCAGTACCTTCTCACTGTGCTGCTGGAAGTCCTCCACCCGACTGAGGAGGTCCTGTGAACACGCACACACATATTTCGGGACCAGGTAAGCTGTCTGACAGGATGACCTTTGAAGACAAATGCTGTGCAATCGCATGTGCAATTACCTTTTCAGATGTTAAGCTGCTGACACAAAACAGAATACATTTTTACAGCAGCAGCTAAAAGTGCCTGCAGTACAAGCAAATTAATGTATAAAATAAGAGTCTGAGCAGATTATGACCAATCAAAACCAGTGCCTAAAACACGAACAAAATAGAAAAAGGAAAAAAGAGCATCTGGCAACTTTATCCAGCCATCATTGCTTTGAATGTATTGCTAATAAGATAGTCCTATAACTAGATTTCATTCTGAACCAGCATCCACACTGCTGGGAAACACAGAATACTCTGAACATGTAAAGACATACAGTATGTTAAGTGGTGGTATCCCTAAAAAGGCACATACAGATCTATGTGTTTCAGTGTGATGGAGCTGGTTAGCTGAAACCTAGAACTAAATGCCATCCATCCATCATTGGGAAAGGTAAGGATTATGGCAACATGGATCCTATAGCAGCAACACAGGGTTCAAGACAGGACTACACCTGTCACCTGTCTATCACAGGGAACATGTATGACCAAGCACACAGGGATAATTAAGACAATTTGTCTTGCCAGCATATGTTTGGAGGGCAGAAGGAAGCTGAAGCACCCAGAATAAACCCATGGAAACACTGGAAGGTTTTCACAGAGAGGACACCCCAGTCAGCATCAAACCCATGACTCTTGTGCAAACAAGCAGAATTTAATTCAGGTCTGAGAATTCGCTTTCTCAAGCAGGAGGACTCTGCTTGAAGTTTGCATCTGTTAAAACTGAACAGTATATATATATAAAAAAACTACTGATAAAATTACAAAATAATCAAATTAAAAAATGAAACCCCCCAAAAAACCTGGAAAAATATAGTCTTTTTCTTCAGATGATGCATCTAGAAATGCAGCTTTGGCATTAAATGTAGCTGATTTACCCCTTCATTCTAAGGAAGCTACATTTTCCTCCAGAAACAGGGTCTGCTTGACATGGCCTCACATTTTATTCTGTGTCCTTGCAAGACACAATGGCCTTCCTCTAAGCCCCCCTCGGCATACCTTCAGCAAGGGGGCCTGGCTGATCGTGCAGGGCAGGGTGTAGAGTTGCCTGACGAAGGCCTGCAGCTCCTCCACTGTGAGCTGGTTCTGAGATTTCCCTCTGCAGGAGCGATACCTGAGATTCACACACTAGTCAGGACAAGGACGCAGCAACACTGTCCACAGATGCCAGGACCGTTCAATTCCTTCTTAAAAACAGTTCTGCTCCTAATGCGGGTAACAGCAAAGGGACTCCATGCTTCATCCAAGAATGGACGGAGCTCGTTTTATAACATTTTTCTTAACAAGTGCTACTTTTTGACAAAATTCATCATGTTGGAAGATTCGACAGACAAACCTTTCCAAGTGGAGAGTGAGAAAGAAACTTGATAAAGATGAGGATGTTTTTCCAATTCATTTTTACTTCCACAGTTGTTCACAAAAATGTTCTCTCTCTCATTATTTGAACAATTAATTGATGCCTCTGGTTTTAAATAAAGTACTGATGTCATGTATAATGTAACAATCTTGGCTATGGCCTTCTGCCCAAGTGCAACAATCAGTTAAATGCGAGATCAGGGTTTAATGAAGTAGAACACAGCAACCTTGCTAGCAAAGGGGATTAAACAGGCTGGTGTAATTAGAAAACATTAAAGTGAACATAGGAATATCACAGTGAAATACTTTTTAAAATGTGCCAAATTATTTGGATACAAAATATACCTTAGAAGTTTAGTTTTAAAACTTTATTAAAATGACCAAGAAAATCACTGCATTTACAGAGGCAGGACCTCAGTTCAAGCCCTCTATCATTTGGATTCAAATGTTCAACAGATTTCCTGCCTCTGAAAATGCAATTTATGACATTATTTAATTAATACGTTATTATAACTAAATACATTTAAAAGCAGAGGCATCAATTAATTGTTCAAATAATGAGACATTTTTTGTGACCAAAATCTGAAAGAAAAAATTAATTTGAAAAACCCCAACTATCACTCTAGTTACAAATCTTTGCACAGAAGGGCAATTTACACTATTTTGTCAAACAAATCCACCTAACACAAACAAGTAAAAAAAAACACTGTTTACAATGTTTCCATAAGGTTTCAAGTTAACCTTTAACCATGCTTTCTTGCGCAGCCCAATTTGCCTTAAATCATTCATCACTCACAACTACCATTTACACTAACGCTCACTCAACTGCTTTTACAGTCAGTTGTACTCCACTCCCGCACACTTGCCTGCTTTTATTAAAAAGATAAACCTAAAATAATATCGGAGCTTTATTGTCATTCTTGGTTAACCAGATTAACTTCTGTTTGATACTGGCAACGCAGATCAAATAATTTCTTTAATCTATCATGTGTCCAATTTGGTGTCCATTTGAATTATTGATTCCAGATAATTAGCACTTTTCAACATGACTTTCTGGATTTGTCTTAAACCAAAGGATTTTATTAATCTAGTGACCCAGCTTACTATTTTGCTCGCCACTTCTAAATCTTAGAAATTCTGCCTCTCGAGCTCATGAATTCATACTTTAACCACTCAGCAACACAATCTACATACATTTAATTTATTTTCCATTCACAGTGCCACATTTATTGATCTGCTCTTCCCAATACAGAAAGCGACGCTTAAAAATCTAAAATAATAACTACTTTTTTCTAAACACAATTAACAATGAAGGGTTCCAGCACTGGTGTTAGTTCACTTGGTCTAAAGAAAAATGAAGGAGACAATGAATTCTGGGAAGGTTCAGATGGGAAGGAGGGGGAAACGGATACAACACTGCTCTTAACTACATTTAAACCAGGTGATCTAGTGTGATCTGACATGGTTACCTGGTTTGCCTTTTTCCATTTAGCAGCTGCTGTGCCACAGAGGCACACTTCTCTGCATCCTGAGTCACCAGACGCAGGTGGCGCAGGAGATCGTTGTCTGGAAACCTCTTCATCTCAGATTCCTCTATCAAGGAACGAAACTCATCTAGACCTGTTATTTAACAACAGACACACATTAGAAAACTGCAATGTTCAGCCAACTGGCCTGTTTTTATAACAGGATGCTCACCGTGACCGATTCTTCTCATTTCAAGTGCCTTTAATTTCACACTTTGGTCACTAAATGTTAGCCCCATCAGGCGTCATATCTTTTACTGAGCTTACTTAACACCAGTGTTTTAACACCTGGAAAACCACAAAAGATAGAACACTTGCTTCTGCTGCATGTTTTTTAGGTAACAATTAATAAGTAAATGTCCATGAGGTATAAACTCCTTTTGAGACTGGCAAATGTTTTAGATGCAAAAACAATCCAAAAGGTACAATTTTAAAAAGAAAATAACCTCTTATCAAAAAAGCTAGACCCAGTTGGGGAAACAATGTTGCTAAAAATAACCAGTTATTTGAAATTTATCCAGGGACTCGTGTTGGGAGTAGAATTGAAAATGACTAAACAATCCACATTAATGGACTACAGGGATGAACACTGACAACTCACTTCTCTTCTTGTCCATTTTAGCTTCTAGTAACTCGGTCACATGACAGGCCCAATCATCGTAGGATTCTGCACGCAGCTTTATGGCATTCATCATTGGATACAAGTCATCCAGTGTATATCGATACCTGTCACACAAAGTATGGAAAGCAAAGGTTTAGCAAATACGTAACAAACAGCAGGAGCTGAAAGCATCACGTTTTATGTTTCAAAGGCCAAATTACATGCAATACACAAACTTGCCTTACAAATGAGACTTGGTTTTGAACATACTGGGGGATCTAACATTGCACATCAAGCTGCAATACTGGTTCTATTTTTAATGGTGTCAATTTTGCCAAGAGGCTGAAAAACTAAGTCTATTTTGCAGGGGTACAAAACAGGGATTGATTAAGAATGAACCTCAATAAATATCCAGCCAGTGACAATTATGAGACATACCAATAACTGAAAAAACCCTGCTATGGAAACATAACTGATTGACATAAGCTTCACTGTGGTGGATTCAGTAGCATTTTAAGGGTATAATACACAGACAAAACAGGCCAAAAAACCATCTTCAATCCTCTGGATAAAATAAATGAGGCGGAAGCTGACAACATACTTCAGTGTGTAGTTCTGCACAGGGCAGCAGCAGAGGTCCTTAAAGTGGTAGAGACACACAAGGCTTCCAGGGCTGCAGGGGCAGGTGACAGCAGACAGGAAGCAGGTGGTCCTACATATGGCACACTGTCGTTCGTCGTCTGGGAGGAGATCATATTCCTCCCTCTCCGACTTAACCACCCCCTGCGGGAATTCAATATCCTTTCATCAAGTAACAGGTTGCGTCCCCACAAACCTCCCACTGCAACTTCCGAGTTGTCTGTAATCTTTTTACAATGAATACTTTTTAGTGCTTGCTTAAGAGCAAACTGTCGCGATGAATTACAGGAATGAGAATATTAACTAGCTGTAGATGAACAGTGCTGAAAAGAGAACATTCTTAACAGACTTACAAATTCAGTTGATGAAGTTGTGCACCTGAAGTGTAATATATTCTGGAGGATAAGTCTTGTAAGGGATTTTGCGTTCAGAGGCCCCTCACCATATTCCTGACTTCCTCGCGCATCGCCCGCTCCGCTTTTATCATGACAGCCATGTCCTTCTGAACGGCAGAGGCCAAGACCACATCAAGGGCATCGGCTTTGGAGGCTATTTTGCAGATCAGCTCATCATGGGAGAAGACGCAGTACCGGTGGAGGAGACGGTAATGGTCCACACACTGCCGGCCCAGCGGCACCTGAAACACAGGTGGACTCAGCTCGGTGCTCGCATTAGAAACATTTTTGTCAACACAAATTACTTCGAACCTACCAACAACAATCTGTTAAAGATTTACATTTTTGCTATCGATGTTGGGATTAGGTCTTTTACCTTTGTAACGAAAATTAAGACAAGTCTTACCCAGTCCACAGTACAGAAATTGACAGCCTCTGCGAAGTTAAAGCCCTGATTGAACCCACTATGGTAGGCTCTAGGAAAGGTGATCACGAACTCGCCTGCACACTGATTGGTTCTATAAATCTAAAAGAAAACACAAGGACGGTATTAAAAAAAAAAAGAGAATTTTACCAAAAACCTGATTTAAGTTATTTCCATACAGGAGATATTCACAGCTCAGAAGGAAAATAAAGCTTGTATATGCACGTAACCAGAGGTACATGCACCCAGGCTGTACAGCTTTAAAAACAACACTGTCCTTGGAATCACAGACGACATAACTGAAGACACCCATAGGACAGCAGTTTGAGCAATTTCAGGTTAGCTGAAGGCTCTTAGCCCCAGACCTGGGTAACCCCAACACCTCTGTTTATGGGTATTTTCAATTCAATTACCATCACTGCATGTGGCAGACTGGCTGCAATAAAAACCCTCTAAAAAACAACAACAAAAAAAGAATTGAGAAACAGATGATTCTTGAGAGAACACCTGACCACACCTACTATAACAATTTTGATTCCAGCCAGACCATCAATAAGAACAAAAAATGAAGAGTTGCAACTGATGGTTCAGAATACAACTATCCTTCATCCCAACTCCACCCATACCCATCGCCAGGGCCTTCCAGAACAGTTTTGCACCAAAAGTCCCCTTGGACTAAACTCACAAAAGAAAAGCCAACCCTGGTACCTATGAGGGAAGGACTGTATATTCTAACTTGGTAGGTACTTTTGAGAAAAAGAGCTGATAAATTACCTCTTCCCCACCCCATATCACATGATATCCTGATTTTACAGTTACTGGTTTACTTCCAAGATATAGTTCCCGCTATTGCCCAAGATAAAGAAAAAAAAATATCCATTGTAAAGAGGACGTACCATACCTTACATTTAACACAAGATCATTCCCCCCCCACTCAGACATACATATAGGTATTTTTTTCAAAGGTAGTAGGAACCCTTCCAGTATATGCCTCTGTAAATTTCTATTTCTGTCCTTGAGTGCTGGAGTCCTGGTGGTGTATTTCAACTAGCAACTCACTAAGAGATGGGTGCCTGTAATTGTGATCCAAAAAAGTCATTAGAATCGGAGCAGGAAAGCTAACCTGAAACCCTGCAGGTTCCATGTCTGGCCCATTTAAGCTGGGGTAAGGAAACGCAAGACAGTCTCTAGCTGAAAAGAGGGGTGTGTAGCACAAGTGCACTTACTGGCACTCCATGGGCCATGAGTGTGTTGGGGTTCATGATGGTGACGAGCTGATGCAGCAGGTCGGGCTGGGACTCAAAGAGCTCTGGGGCGAGCTTCTTCATCACATCCTCCAGCTGTTCAGCTGCATACCCTGGAGCTCCATACCAGGTTTTTGGCTCACCCCTGAAACAATAAGGTAAGTAAAGCCACTGCTCACTGACTTAACTACATATTTTGCAGTATTATAGTACAGAAGTAAAAACAAATTGTGAAAACTTTGCAGAGAAAAATAAAGAACATGTTTAAAAGAGCTAGGGACCAAACACAATTAACTGCATTACTTTAAAACAAATGTTCAGTGATCAGAGAGTCCAAGCCATGGTAATATTCAGGTACTTCCAGACAAGTCAAAACTTCACCTCACCTCATCTTCTGTCCTGATTAAATTTAAAGTATTAATAACTGATGCTGGAAATTTAGGGAAGAACAAATACTATCAATTACATAACACTATAGCTGAGCGGAGTCTGAAAGCAAACCCCTTGAGGTACATATTAAACCAATTATCAAAGTCACTTTCCTATGCTGTGTATACCTAATTACAATTCAAGCTTCAAATAGTGCTTAAAATTATTTAATATTTAACACAAACAAAAACAATACCTGCTGCTTTTGACATTGAGAGCTGCAAAATAATTAAATCAGTGAAGTGACGTCGCATACCAGTGCAGGTAGTTAATGGAGTAGCTCCAGTGGTCCTCAATGTGCCAGCAGAAGGAAGAAAAGCACATCCCCACATACAGCCAGGGTAATTTCATCCCACAGATGTCAGCAGTGACATGAGTAAGGACAGAGGGATTCATCACTGGCATGTTGTTCAGGTTCCAGCCACAGCTGAGGTAATCCTGAACAGAGAGTAAGGTGTTCAGTCACAAACTCCAGACATCTAAGGGGCTGAGATCGCTGCCCACTTAAGACAATCACATACCTAATGCCATATTCAATCAAAAGAAAGCAGCACAGCCAATTTTAAATTAAATTCCCTGTGCTGATTACGCACAGGATTGTACTTAAAGAAGGACTAATTGAGAACAATATGACATATCCAGACCAGCGGTTCTCAATGCTGAACCCAGAGAAACACTGTCTTCTGCTTTTTTCTTCCTGCAAACTTCTTAACAGAGGATTAATTTCATTTTTCTAATTTAGCTGTCCTTTTTAAAACCTTCTGAGCTCCTAAAATGCTTTATTGGGTTTGTAAGTGGTATTAACCCTGCTCATTCAGGTGTGCTAGCTGAAATGTAACACACTGGACTTTAACAAATACTTATTGTGGGAGAATTTGGTACATTATCATGCCCACTGATCTCTCTTCATCTTGAACTGACTGCCAATTAAGTGTCTGTGTCAGAATAAGGGATTAAAGTTATGGAGAGACTACCTGAAGTTCCATATGCTATAGCGAAGAGCTGAGTGCACAAAAAAGCAAGCAGTTTCATTACCTGGTTCAATTAACACAAGAAATTAAGGGTCTAATTGGTCCTACCTACAGCAGTCCCTCAGGACCAGGACAGAGAACCACTGATCAAAACTATTCCACTTTATTTTATTCTACCTCATTACGCAACACTAAATCTCAATTTCAGTTATCTCCGCACCTCATCTTCAGGGGCAACTTTGAACCGGCCATCCTTGATAGGGAAACCACTGCCAAATTCCTTGGATGCGATATCTGCTCCGTATTCCACAGTGACATCCTCTTCAATGGTGCTCACCAAACGCCAGAACTCCTTCTCCACCAGTTCGGTTGGCACCATCTGTAACAGTAGCAGAGCAACAAGTTAATGAATTCAGAAACGGATAAACCACATTTAAATTAGACTAATTTCCTGTTAATATTGTATATTGCACACAGTTTTAGAGAGCACCAAAAACTTAGTAAATGGTAACATCAAGGTGAAAACTAAATATTCTTGGCTTTAAAAAGCATTTGACTTTTTTTTTTACCATCAGGATTTAAAATAACGTTCAGTTAAACAGAACAGTAATAAACATGAATCATGCCTCACTCATGAGAGGGTATCCATACTTACATGAACTGGCATGTTGAAGTAATCCGACTTGAACGAGTCGGCCATCTCTCCAAAGGCACGCAGGGTGTAGTCTCTGTATGCCTGCTCAAACCCAAATGCTTCTTGGGGCTTGCTGCACTCCTATGAGCAAAAGTTGAAAAGATAGTACGTTATGTACTGCCTTTAGGGTAATCATCCATTTTCTAACTGCGTCTTCCAATTCAGGGTCACAGGGCAGCCGGAGTCTATCCCAGCAAGCAGTGGGCGCAAGGCAGGATACATCCCGAACGGGATGCCTGTCCATCACAGAGTACACACAGATACAGGCACGCACACACCAGGGCCAATTTTCCCAGAAGCCAGTTAACCTACCAGTATGTTACAGAGAATACAGCCTTTGGCAGTCACAAAACACTGACTCCTTTCACGGCCTGTCACACACAGGACTGGGAGGCACTCTAAAAGAGTGTGGTCAAACAGCATTTCTCAGGAAAGTCAGAAACTCATTTCTCTTATGTCTTAAACTGAATAATATCTAGGGAATCTTAAAAGGACAATAACTACCCATTCTACTTTAAAGACAAAATAAAAACCTACAAGTTCCAATTTGCATCTCCTTCTAATCAAAGGAAACGGCTTTAGTTACCACTGGCTGGGAACAGTGTGCGTGTCATGCTCACCACAGAAAGTGAGAAATAAAACATGATACTTCACAATCTTGAGAGCTCAAGGGGCTTTGAGGTGTATTTTTCCATTGACAGAAAACCTGTCTGGATTCTTTAATCTCATCCCCCCTGAGCACTCCCCTTTAAAGAGGTTCCCTGTGGAAGTGAACAGAGGCAAAATATGGGACAACCTTGTAAACCCTGGGGGTCAGAATGCCGTGTATTATGGATTAAAACATTCTACCTAATTAATACAAATAGCAGGTTAGTCATTATATACAAGTTAAAACAGTGCTGCTGTACAACGTTCTGAAAATGTGTTAGAAAAATTACCTGGATGTTTTGGGGCCTCGTGAGCTAATAACTGATGAGTAATTTTAATTTTAAAAGTCCCTCAGGTGAGATTCAAAGCCAAAATCTGGCATGGCTGTGCAACAAAACTCCCTTTCGTGGTTGGATGGAATGACCCTTGTTCATTAAAAAAAGAGCAACTACTGCTGCACGCTTTACTGTTGTGCATTTGATAAATAAACTTTGATTTGAAAAATGTAGACTTTCATTCTCCTTAATGCTAAGCTTACTGAGCTCCTCAGTGGACACACAGTGAACAGACATCTATACACCTTAAATTGGAACATAAAACAAAACGCCTCCACTCTCAAGGAGAGATCCGTTTTAAATGATCAGATCATTAAACAGAGCCAGAATCCTGTAGTATTCTTTCTCCTGCAGACACTTCTGCTGCTTTCTGTTCCTCTGGGGCATGTTAACTCACTGAAGGACACCTGATAATTGCTTTAATTTTAGAAAGGGCACTCATTACCTGAGCCAGGCACTTGGGACACCTCCAGTCTCCCTTGGGAACATCGTGGAGGGGTGGGATCAGACAGAAAGTGTGGTAGCTGTCATCACAGCCATCGCAGAGCAAGAGACGGTCTTCGTCATTTCCACTGCCGCAAACCAGACAGACATACAGGTCCACCTGGTTACAGAGTAGAGAAGCCTAAGTGTCTCATTTCTAACATACCTCCTAGGCACTGACTGATCAAACACACAGAACACCAATGGGTTACACAAATATACATACAGGTAAGAAACAAAGCCCTGTTTTGATCCAGAACGTGACAGAGATGGGAAATACCAACTAATAAACAAGACACACTAAGATAGGTAGTAAGACAGCCCTAAAACATCAAAATCTGTTAAAAGTGTAATAAAAAAATCAATTTCAGTTCTTGTATAACATCCTACAACTTAGTCAGCTGCACACACTTAAAGTAGATATGGGGAGATCAACAGATAGGACTCATGGCAACAAACACCAATATTACAAGGATCTATTATCTAGCATTTAGAAGAATTTCCACTTATTTTTGGAACTTCAAGGGACAGGAAAATCATACCATCTACACCATTCCTTCAGCAACTAAATGGGGTAATGGGAAGAGCACACTTTATAAAGTCTTCTTGTTTCTTAGACCACTGCTTGAAACATAGCGATTTAGATATATTTAAAGGTAGGGGAAGAAATCTAAACTGTTACCTTGCCAGTTAGAGATCTGCATGTCACAACAATGGATCAAGAAGTCCCCCACTTACTATACTCACTGCTGGGAGATATTTTTTATTCCGCAGCTTTGCTTTTTCTGGCTCAGTTATCAGCTCCTTTTCAATGGGCTCCTGTTTCACCATCACAGGAATCTCTTTCTCTGTGAAAAGACAACGCAGCTCTGAAACAGCTAGCACAGGGCACGTAGTTCCTAATGAATTGGTGATTTATTGATTAGAAGATCTGGATGCTGTACAATGAGGTGACTGAAACCAGCTCTGGATATAAATAAGCCTGCAGGTTTCTAGTGCCATTAACCCCTCCATTTTTCAAGATTGAAAAAAAACAGACAACTGACCAAGTAATTCATTCAAATAAGAAATGGAGGAAAACCGAGATGAAAACCAGACACCCTGTGGTTTAGGAAACAGCAAACCCATAATCATTCACAGCTCCTCATGCTGATTAGTTAGTTCAGTGGTGGACAACTCCTGACCACATGATTTGATGAATTGGCTGTTTCTCTTCCCAATTCTTAAAACTACTGAGGCAGAAGGAAAAGCAGAGTTCTGCATGAACCAAGCTCAATTCACTTGGAAACATCTGTGAGATAAACATACAGAATACTAAACGCGTATAAAATAAACTGTGTCAATGTCAAAGAGGACCAAGTTCCTCTCACCAGTTAAGCACATTTTTTTGTGGACCAAGATTTTGTTTACTTTCATACTTCCATGTCAAAAGTAGACTGGGTAAAAAAAAAAAACACTGCATCCTGGGATACTGCTGAACAATGAAAAAATGGTATAGCTCTTTGAATGAAAATCATTATTGAAGATGACTGCAAAGCTGTGCAAAAACATTGCCCTAATGTGTCTTTTTGTGCTGGCATTGAAGAACACTTACCAGTCACAAAAAAATAATCACAGAATTACATAATGATTACCCCAACATCACTGTCCAAACCACATTTCCAGTGTGGTTTCATTGAAAAGGAGGCACAAAATCACAGTGCATTCGTATTGCACAAAACAAACCAAACTGAGTTCATGCGACCCCCAGAAAAAAAAATCACCGAAAAGGCCCCAGTTCAGCTTCAATAAAGGAAGATCGGAAAAGAACCAAATCGCTTTTGAGTTCATGTTGTACTTCCCAACTGGGTGTGGTTTGTTTAGTTTGGAAATACAGTCAAAACAAACCAAACCAAGTGTGAACACTTCCAGAAAAAAAGGCACTGGACTATGGATCTCCTTGGTTGCCACCGCCTGGAGACATTTAAAAATTCTTTTGCGATGCCACAACTTCACTACAAACTAAACACATTTCCTGCAGCCATCAAGCCTACTGTGCAGTTATCAAAACTGAAAAGCATCAAGCAGTGGAAATGTATGATGGAGTGGATTATGAAACTGTACGTATTTTTATAAAGGCAGAAATACCTTTCCTGGTGTTACTTAGGTACGTTCACAGAAGTAACTTGACTGTTCCTTATGACGAATCACACAAATTATACAGCACAGGGCTGCACTTGAATTCCACCACAATTCCTTGCATGGCAACACTTTTATAGTGAGGCTAACGGCTTGTGAGGACCAAGGCTGTGCATAGCTTGAAATGAGCTACAGAAAGCCCATGGTTTTCATTTCATAACATTTGTTTTCCAGATGGGTCAAAGGAAGAATGAGATTTCCTTTTCACATTCTTTACAAAACTGACCTTCTGTTCAATTAAAATTTGACAAACCACAACCAACCCCGACATATCTATCTTATTTATCATAGCGGTGTATCTAAACCTTCACCTACAACCACATAATCTCAAGCAAGTCATTAACTATAAGTTAAAGAAAAGAACAGCGATTACCTGGCTCATTCTTCACAACAACAGAACCCATCCTCCTTCTCAGGTTGGGTCTGCTGTCACCAGTTTCTCCAGGCTCAGTCTTCACACAGTTTCCCTTGAAGGAGGAAAGAAAGAGGGGTTGTAAGTCAGCTCAGCAGCATGACAAAATGTGTTTCTCCAAGAAAATGTACTGTTCTGTAGTCTTGTAGTAGTCCTCCAGTCCTGCAAAACATCCATAAACTATGATGACTTCCAACAACTCAATGGAGGAGAAAAGAATCCTCACATAGCCTTTCACAAGAACAGGGCACAGCACCAGATCCCTTACTAAGAGCACAATCAACTGATTTAACCCCACTGAATGGATGAGGTCGTGCCTTTTATTTGCATTAAAAAAGCCACGCTTTTTTAACAGGTTTTTAATCCTGCAAGCAGCTATCATTTTTTCGGAATTCCACTAGTTTTTCCAAAGATGAGACTTGTTTGTGATGGGCGTGATCCCTACGAGAGGTAATAAGGGTAACTTGAGGAGGAGCTCCTCTGAGACGTTCATGAAGCTCTGATCAAGGGTCTTCACCTCAGCTCTCATCCGCTTGGCCCTGCGGGCGGGGGTGCAGGACTCCACAGACTGGAAAGACTGCCTCTGGGCCAGGTCATGGGGCTTGTACTCTCTGTCCTTCGTGTCGTTCATCAGCGTTGGCTTCTGTACACACTGGAAAACGAAGACACAAAACAACCTGACATTAGACAACTACCTCACTGACCAAAAAAAATAGGTGTCTTCTCCACAAGGATTTAATTAATAGGACTAAATAAGGAACAGATAAGCTTAGAAAAGCTGTAAACATAAAAATGTGAACACCTCAAAGTTTCATAAGCTGAGCTCGCAAAACAAGATCGAGACTATAAACTTATCATAGTTTAATGCTCAGTTGTTAAGAGTTCTGATAAACACTGATGTGTTTCAGAAAATAAAGGAACAACAGGGCTAGAAAATGTTTTGCATCATTAAAAGTAAAAAACAAAAACTCAAGGACAGTATGAAGTGTAGATATATGCACTCAAACTCCCCCATATTTGCTTTTGATGTGCGACCTGTTCTTAAGTGCATTTTAAAGGTTACATTAAAGCATTTTCTAACTTGTTCAGTTGACAAGCTGTAGGTTTTGCATATTGCCACTATCCTGTTACATGGAATTAATATCTTAATATACATTTTGTTTAAACATTTAAAGTAGACTTCAACAAATATTGAAAAACAAAAGGTGATTATGTTTTAATTATATATTTGATTTTGTGCTTCAGTGCTTGATTAACCTTTTGGCATGAATACCAGGTATCTGCATTGTCAATTAAAAAAGCCTACCATGTGGCAGCAGTTCTTAAAACAGCACTCTATATTAAGCAAGCCTGATGAAATGCAGGCCTCTCTTTGGAGTGGCTGAGAGCAGCGCTTCTGCTTGTTAAAGACAGGGAAGCTGGTTATGGCAGTTGTCAGCTCAGAAGGCTGAATGTCTTTCACCACAGATAGCAGGACAACCGAGATGACTGTCTGACAAGGGTGCAGAGGGTATTGAGCAGAGCGACTGGAGGATGAAAGCATGCACTTCAGAAGGGAGGAGCTGTCAGCCACACAAACCAGATGGGCCCCAAGCTTTCAAATGTCAAGACGATATAATGCACAAAGAAAAGAGGAAATAAAAAATATAGAAGCAATCAAGTCTTCATTAAAAATTCTGCCGCCTGAAGAAAAAAAAAAAGAGGCTGCTAAGATATTAGTATATTTGCAGGTCCTCTAATTGCATCTGTTTCAGAGTAAGTGGCGAAATACTCAATAGTAGCCTTGTCATCACTCAGTTTGTTACAAGCACTGCTGTACACTTCAGAGTCCTCTGACTTAGGAATTAGGATATATCCAGATCTGGAACTGCCAATAAACTGCTAAGGCACCTAATGCAAAAGAGAACTAGGAGAGTTACTCAATAACATATGTGACCTCTTAAATGTAGGTCACTCATAGACCACCGAAAGGCCTGACTGGTTTCATTTTTATTTTTAGATCAGATGGTAGCAATTATTGAGATATCTTCTAGTATTACACACTTCTCTACTTAAAAAAGACACTTGCACATGCTGATATTTTACAGGTGTAATTTCAATTTTCTAGAACAAACTTAAATCTTATTTAATAGTTATTTCTTCCACATTCAAACAAGACATCTTTCCGTCGCCGGAAGACTAGTCAGTGGTTTTCTGTGCCATCATTAAACTTGTGAAAACACAAAATGTACAGTTTTAGACAGGCTAAAAGATCAACATTCTTTACACACAACTACATTCAGATAAAAACAAACGGCATTTTAAAGGCATTGTTATTTTCAGAGCTATGCCCCAATGTGCTCTGCTTCCTATTGTGTAAATGGTCTCCTGCACGTAAGAAAGAAATCAATACACCTTGAATTTACAGCTTCAATCTCAACAGGCGAGTTAGCTCATCTGAAAAGCTCAGAGCACCATCTGCTAATCCAACGGGAACCTCCGCCCTAATGAGGAGAGGAGAGAGGAAGAAGGTTCCCACAGGCTTTCATCACTCACCAGAAGGTTGGCTCCAGCCTGGAACAGGTTGTAAGGGTAGAGAATTCGCTCGTAGTGGGCACGCAAATGAGAGCCCACAGCCTTGCCAGGGGCGAAACCCATCCTCAGTGCTATCTTGGTCCATCTTCTCTCTTTACACACAGCATCAAAGCCCCCTTCATCAGCCACCAGCTACAAAACAAAAGCACGCAGGTTGTAAATCTGTCTGCAAGCGCAGGACTCCCATGCACCGTCGCCCACAGACACCGTGATGCAAGAGCTTGCCGCGTCTTGCCATTCGCTACACAGAGGCGTGCCACGCTCTCAGGAAAACCAGTGACACACTCAGGAAAACCTCCTTGTTTTCCCCAACAGGATATCAGAGATCTCGAAACAGTCAACACTTCTCGAGCCAATTGCATTTCATGAGTTCAGACTTGGTCTTGCTGCTAGGCTAACACAGTCTATCACCTTTTGTTAAAAATGTTTAAAATACTTCAGGATTATTGCTAAAACATATCCACAGACAATTTGAAATTGAATTCAGTGAAGGTAATTTTGCACAGATTAAAATTCTTAAACATAATGCTGCAGTTAGGAAATAACACTTTATGAATATTCTAACATCAGCAACAGATATATTACATTCACAACTTCCATGCATTACTTATGCTGAAGTATTATGTTCACACTTTAATTCAAATCAATTTTTGAGAGAAGTAACGTTGCTTTCTACTTTTTTTTAACCTTATAGCATGTCATTAACTTCACTCAAATGGAAGTTGTACAAGGTGTTCTTACCTTGTTCAGTTGGTATAAATCCAAAATCTTCCTTTCTACATGTGGAATTTTTAATGTGCACCCCTGGAGCTCCCAGAATTTTGCAATCTGATCAAGGAAATTGAGCTTTACTCTGGTCTGGGCCTAAAGAAGAAAATTAAAAGCAAATTATTTTAACCCAACACACTCAACAGTCCCTTAAACTGCTAAGTGAGACACAACATGCAAAAACAGATTTCATGAAGTAATTAAACAAACCACAATAATAATTTAAATTGAGTACATGAATTTTAAATTTTCTACATGTTATCACTTGATATGCAAAGCTCCTACTCTAATCTAATCATGATTTCTGCTGATCTATAACTCTAGCCAGCACCTTTGACCCAGCTTGACAGGTGCTCTCTTCTGACTAGGCTCCAGTATTGTTATGGGTACAATAGACTCCCTGGCTGGAAGTGATGAGACGCATCATGCTGTAGCCTGTAAGCACCAGCCATCCCCATACAAACAGATCTGCTATTAGTTCCTCAGATGGAAGAAATTACAGATAAGTACATGTAAGAAAGTAATGCTGCGCTACATTAAGTAACCAAGGGTCCGGGTGGAAAGATCCAGAGACCTGAGTTATGCGCCTCTGCCCAATATATGACTTAATTGAACTCACTGTATGCTTACATGGACAAACTGAAGCCATTTTCTTGTTTTACAGAAACTGGAGATTTTAAAATGCCAATAAGACCTGCTAGACAGGAGCCCCATAGGACTGGAGATGGGCTCTCTTGTTATAGGGGATCCTGAGTGGTTCAGTCAGTAAAGGCACTCAGATGTTTAAGCACTATGGGCATAGTCGTTAGTTAATTCTAACAAGGGCTCCATGGGGTGCTGCACACAACTGGCTTGGTAGCTGATGGGAATCAGAATGAATTGGGTCCAGCCTGGTTTCACTCTGCTCATCACACAACAGTGACTCCCAGCACCTGTGGGCTTGCAGTTATATCAGTGAGAGAATTCACCAATCAGTGCCAGCTTGCTTCTAAGGCACCATGGGAGCACATCGAAGGACAAATGGCAGAGGAGTACATGCGCACAGGACCTCCTGCTGGACGACTGAGGTCTTCATTCCACAGTGCGCGAGTCGTAGTGAGACAGCAGAAAGCTTCCAACCTGGATGAAGTATTGAAGAGAAACTAGAACAAACCTTCCCAAGTTAAAAATTACCTCTAGTTCATTGAGCCTCTGGATCCGAGGGGTGAAATGAAGCTTATCAACATCACATGCGAACGGAGGCTGCCAGTCCTGAAACACAACACAGGGGATAAGATCAGTGGAGTCCAACAATACCATCCTGAACAGACAACCTGGCACCAGCTCCACCTACCTATTTGCCACAGACATGAAACTTCATTCGGAGTCTCGAATTCCAAGAAAAGCGGCATAGCTAAAGCAGATTCACTTTGCAGATTCCATCGCTTGTTTTTGTTTTATATTCAACCAGCACCCATGGAGCAAGCTCAACTGCAATGGCCACGACTTAATTTCTACTGATAAACTCAGGGTCTAGGGGTTCTGTCATGTTACGCTACATGTAAACTTCACCGTTAAGGTTTATATTTCTGAAGTCAGGTTACATGAGTATAATTTAAATGCTACATTACATAAAAATATATATTTTGAAATTCAGAGCTTTCTGTAATTAATAGACACATGGACAGTGGTACAAAGCTAACTTTTTTTGTTTCTTCTGTCCTATTTACATCATAATTCAAGAGACAAAACACAAAAACCTTGATAACCCCCCCCCCTCTCTAAAACACAGTACATCACCAATAAATGCAGCATGCAGAAAGTAAAACCTATACAACAATTCAGAGGACTAAAAATTCACAATTCAAAGACAAATAGTCATTTAGGACACGCGAGTGGCAAACTAATGCCATCAAAAAAAAGGCAAGGCAACTTTTACTCGGACAACAGCTTTACATACAGATGAAAAGATGGATCAAGAACTGAATGGGTGCCCAGTAAAAAAAATTAATTACATTCGCTGGGAACATGACAAGGAAGAAAATCCATCCCTGATCATCCCCTGGACTTCTACCAGGAATAGTAGTACAGTACTCAGGGCCAGTCTGGTCCTAGAGACTGAGATACCTCTAGCAATATGACAACTGTGAAGGGGCAATAGAAGCCCCATGGTGGCTGGATGGTTTTACAGGCGACAACAGTACAAGGTCTCTGACATCACTGACACATGCATCTGCAATCACTTTCTGGAGGGATCCTTTCCAAGAGACTGGGTGAGGTTATCTTTGAGGAAGATCAAGACTATTCCATACTATAAAGGTCCTCTTTGCCCGTGCATTAAGAAAAAAATACAATTTTTTCCTCACAGGAAGAGCACACTCCCCATTTTAACCAAAGTGTTTTCCTTTAGCCTTTTTTTAATGAAATGCTAATATAGTCCTTGTACAGGCCATCGTGAGAACAATTTGTGGGTTGAAATCAGAATTCTACAGATTCTGCAAGTGTGCTTTGTTGCATCACTCTGTTAGTGCCATCAAATGATTTATTTATATTTTTTTGACTCCACTGACCACAGTAGCGTACAATCTGTAGTTCTGATTTGAACTAAATTCAGTTCTGTGAAAGACATTTACAAAACTGTGCGTCATCTGAAGTGGTGGCTTGATTTAAAACAAACTACAATGAAAAATAGTCGCAGCAACACACTAATTTTATTACATCAGTCATTTTGGGTGACAGCTGACTGAAATAGCCCCCGTTGGTATACAAATCAATTCTACACACTTTCACATCTCAACAGCTGACAAAGAATGAGTTAAGTCTCTCAATGAATTCCCATGAAGTTCTTCTACCCAAACTCCAGTAATCAGATGAACGCATTCCACAATATTAAGTCATTAAAAAAAAACTTCTACCACATATGACGAAACTGCCAATCCAAAGCTTACAACATGCAGGAGCTGCGGTACACATCTGCAGGCCTCCTCTTGAGCTGGACCATTTGCTCCCAAATAAGCAGAGAGGAGGCATCAGCAGTGCCTGGAAGTGCACACCCACATATAGGTAACGTGTTGGTAGAACCACAGAGACAAGGACCCACAGGTCAGACAACTCTGCTCTGGGTGGGTTCGGAACACTTCGAGCTAGCCTGTGGTATTTGAAGTCAAGGGTCTGTTATCTAAGAAAAATTCTCCACCAATCTAGATCTCATGCAAAGGAGTTATCTTCTGATTCAATCTTCTGATTTTTTTCAAGGAAAAGTAATACCTATCAATTAATCCTTCTAGGAAATAAAGAAATTGATATAAACACACTTACAAACATAAATACATACAGAAACAAGTAAAGGCTTAGTCCATGCTGAAAAGAGAAGAAACGCACTTTTCCACAGCTGAAATGTTGGTACTTTTCTTCTCTTTTCAGCATGGAATAAACCTTTACTTGTTCCTTTGCAGCCTACGCATGGTGACGCAGCTCCCTGCTTGAACTACATTCAGTATACGCAGTATATGATGGTAAAAGGGCCAATTCTAACAGCTCTTTGCAACTGCACTTCTGAGGTTCTGCACATTAAACCACTAATTCTAATCAAAAACAAAACTTACACAACATAGCAGAAAAGTGCAAACATGCAAAACGTGAATTTCAGATTAAAAGAGGCCAATATTCACCAGGTACATTACAATAACGCAAACAACCTTGGTCAAAGTAAGTCAGAATAAGTTGTGAGATCTATGACATCTACTGAAAAACATCAGGGACAAAAGCAAATGAAGGAGCTCTACAGAGAAAGAAGAGAACAAATATATTAGTTGTTCTCCAAATAAAGGAGTGTCCCCTTCTCAACATTAGGATCACAATAAACACCAAAACAGACAGAGGCCACAAACCAATGAAGAGCAGCACTCCCCCCCTTCCCAAACAGTCAAATTCAGACAAAAGCCACCTTGGGCTTTGTTTAGGGAAGCAGACGGCTGCAGCTTGGGGGGGGAGCAGGCCTTGTGGGACCCGTGCCTGGCAGGTAAACACTTCCTTCTGTCCTCCAACCTCGACACACCTGGCAACAAACCTCCAGCTCACACCTACAACACTGCCGCAGCTTTACACCTCCACCTCTTGCTCTTAAGAAGAAAAAGAGCACTGCCTTCAATAAAAAAATAAAACCGTGGGCGGCCTGTGTGGTCAAGACAGCAGTTTGTGCAGTTGACAAAAGCCCACAACACTAAGTCAGCAAGCGAGGCAACTATTTCCGTTTCGATCAAGAGAAGAAAAAACGGCCAAACCAAGCCCATCTACAGACCACTGCAAGTCACATTTTTCACATTGCACGACAGTTTCGCTTCTCATCCAAGCCCAGGCTGACCAGAGGCACTGCTCCGCAAGAATCACTGTGACAACACTGGTGTTACCAGATCCACAGGGCTCTTCAACACAGTCTTGAAGCCTGAGCCAACACTCCAAAGCTTTCTAGTGTAGTGATTGCAAACATGAAGTATTTGAATGTAGCTAAATGGAAAAAGACACTTACAAAATGACCTCTTTACAAACATACAAGACATGTTAAAGATCTCTCACGACACCTTGGATCAGTTTTGCTACTGCAAAACAGCAGCAGTTAAATAATACAGCTGAACATCTCCAGCAAGTTTTCAAAACACAGCTCTACCTTCTTTAGTAGTTCAGGTGGGCGGCTGCGTCAGCATGCGTAGGCTACAAAGGAACAATAGCTTTATTCCATGCTGAAAAAAAGAAGAAAGAAAACAACGTTTCAGCCGTGGAGCCTTCTTCAGATGTGAGGCGAGGTTGCTCACATCTGAAGAAGGCTCCACGGCCGAAACGTTGCGTTTTCTTTCTTCCTTTTTTCAGCATGGAATAAAGCTATTACTTCTACATTCTTTATGCAAGTTTGTACAAGCTACATCTACAGAAGAGCTCACTGCCCTTAAAAAACATCCAAATGTTTCCTGTGCATTTGGATAAAGTCAAGTATTCTTTACTAGTACACTTCTTAACGGGCAGTAAAGCTTAAGATAGGAGCTTACACTCCCTACGGCTTTCAACGAACCGTTCTTGAAGTCCATCACCACCTTGAGGTAGACGCATAAGCCTAACAGGAAGCCATTATCTACTGCCCAAACATCACTTCATGTTGACTTTTGAAATTTCAAACACTACACAAAATATAACAGAGGATGACTTAGCACATCTTAGTATTATACCTCCCATCACCAACAACCTCATAAACTCCACTATACAAAATAAAAAGAGGCCGCAAGTGATAAGAACAAAGACGAAATCCCTCTGACTTCAATAGAGGGAAGAGAGCTTTACAGGTCTTCCTCCAGGAGCCTGCAGCTACTGCAGCATGTCAGCCATGAACATGGTTGCCACGCACGACAACAGCTCGGAGGCTGTTACATCAATATGGGACATTATTAAGAACGGCCTAGACTCCAACCACTCAGCTTCCTATGCAGGAGCCAGATGGAGACTTTGGTTGCTTCAGAATCCCGGGACACTTTACACTCTACAGTGGGCACGTTATAATGTGAAACAAAAACTTTGTAGCTCGAGTTTCTTCCCAGGTTTTAATAATAAAGGTGGAAAGGGGGGAGGTGGGAAGAATCGAGCAATCAGATATCCAGGATGGATGGCCAAGGAGCTCCACACGCTTCCCTTCTCAACTGTTACTTTGTGACCTACAGACAAAAAACACTGTGGATTCAGAAATTCTGGGGTCCATTCATCTTGGACCGATTACATTTGCTGGGAAAAAGCAATCTTCCACAAAAAACAAACTGGATTCAGGTTGCAGTACTTCAATAAAAGCCTGATAAATTAATTTCAACATTGTATGAAACCTGTTGCCCTAGAACTGTATAATATTAGATACGGCAAATGTGTGTGCAGAGTAGACTGCACTGGAATAAAGAGCCTTACTGGTAGTTAGTAAATGGGACTTCAATTCATGATTAAGATAGTGGACACCAAAAGACAGTGAAGCCAAGAAATGGACCCCATGAACTCATTAGAAAAGAAACGACAAGCGTTTCCTTTTTAAATTTAAACTTTCATATTCACAACGGTTACATCATGAGTAGTTTACAATGTTGCCTTGTACAATCTATAGAAAGGATGGGTCCTCTTATTATTTAAGAGTTCTGCTTATAAGTTACACACCTGAGGATACAATTAAGTTGCTTTAATGTTCCATCTAGACTCTGGACTTATTAATTTATTTTTTTGCCCCACAGCTAAGTTTGGTTAACAAG